TAGGCCATACTCTAACTAATATGCTTTGTCTGTTATTTATTGATTCATCAGTTTACAACTTTAGGTAGTGTCTGTTTTTTTTCCTCTTATGGTAGTTGATAACTCATTTCTCTTACTCCACCACTTTTACTTCTGCTCCCAACCTCCTGATACAGTTTTTGTTTAAATCAGTAGTCAGTGCTAGCATTACTAGGAATATTAAGTATTGTATACTGCTGAGTCAGGTAGTATACTTTGATTGCATTAATTTCTTTAACATCTTACCCTCCATAGTTAATACAGTAATTGACTTTTCCCCCATTTGCTTTGTTTTCTATGTACCTATGGCTAATTTTTTTCACATGTCCCAACAGACTTGTCAGACACCTAGCAGCAATTTTCCCAGATGCTCAAAATATCATATAATCTGTCAGTTCAAATCCCCCATTCCTGTCCCCTTGGAGACTTTCCTTCTTCACTGTCTGTCCTCCTATCAATATGCCGTGATTGCTTTCTGGACCAGATACATAGCTGTCACACTGAGGCTTCCTTTTGCCATTCTCCAGTATTGGATCAACTAATTCCTGAGTCCCATATAATTTTCTTTCCTGCTTTATTCATATATTTCTTCAGTTTGTTTCAGGAATAGTACATCCTCTAGTTGCTTCCTAAAAAGAAATACTTGAAAGTTAAAATTTTTGATTCTTTATGAGGCCACAAAGGTCATTATATTATCTTCACTTGAATGTTTGGTTGGGTATAGAACTCTAGGTCAACAGCAGTATTCCTTCAGAATTTGAGTTATTTCTTCCTTGTCTTCTAGAATCTGATATTATCAAATATTCAGAATTTAATTCCTTTACGTGTGACTTGTTTTTTTCTATCTGGAAACATTTATGACCTTCTCTTTATCTTGATGCTCTGAAATTTTTTATCAACATGCCTTGTCATTGTTCATTCATTGCTCTGGATATTCATTCATTTACTCAATAAATATTTGTAGAGAAATCACTGCACACACACACACACAAACACACACACTGTTCTAGGCACTGGGGATATAGCAGTGAACAAAATAGACAAAATCCCTTCCTCTCATTGAAATTTACATTCTAGTGATGAAGGCAGGAATTAAGAAATAACCTAGTATATAATGAAATATCAGATAGTGATAAGGACTAAAAAGAAATACAAAACAGAATAATGGAACAGAGAATGACAGGATAATTTTTTCAGTAGGGTAGGCAGGGAATGCCTCTCTGAAGTGGTGGTTGAGCAGAGACCCAAATGAATGAGAACACAAGCCATGTGACTATCTGGAGGAAGAGTGTTCTAGGTGAAGGGAACAGCAATACAAAGATTCTGAAGCAGAAATATGCAAGCGATGATGAGGAGCAAAAGGCCAGTTTGGTGGCAGTGGAGTGAATAAGAGAAAGAGTGGTAGGAAATGAAATTGGAGACGTAGCCAGGGGCCAGGAAATTTAAGGCCTTGGTAAGGACTTCGGAATTTATTTTATTGGAGTCTTTTGAACAAGGACAAACTTATATTTTAAAGAACCCCCTTGTGGGAGTATGGATCGGTATGGAAATTGACTGTAAAATTAGCAAGAGTGGTAAGTAGTGAGACCTCTTGGTAGGCTATTTCAATAGTCTAGGTGAAAGATGCAGTGGCTTAGATGTAGTAGCTTAGTAATAGTGATAAATGGTCAGATTTGAAATATATTTTCAAAAGAGAGCCAACGGAATATGCTGATGGATTGTTTAGGGGTGAGAGGAAGAGACGAGTAAAGAATCAATCTTTAGATTCTTGGCCTGAGCAAGTTGGTGAATGGTGGCACCACCTTACTGAGATGGGGAAGACTGAAGGAGTGTTTGGGAGATAGGGTGCGGTGGGATTTAGTTGTGTTTTGGACGTGTTGAATTCGAGCCTAGAGAAGTTGTCCAGGAGGCAGATGGTCATCCGAGTCTAGGGTTCATAGGAGAGATGGAGGCCAGAGATAAATTTGAGAATCCTTTGTGTATCATTGGTGTTTAACATCCTGGTTCTGGATGAGTTTCCCCTGATGCGTGAGTATAGATAGGTAGAGGTCTGAGGATTGAACTCTGGAGCACTTCAGTATTTAGAATTGGAAAATGGAAGAGGATCAGAAAAGGAACAGCCAGTGAGATAGGTAGAAATCCAGGAGAATTCATATTCTAGAAGCCAACTAAAAAAAGTGTCTCAGGAGGAGGACAGGATCCACTGTGTCACGTATTGTTAAGGGTTGAGTAGGATGAAGACTCAGAATTAATCATTGGATTTGACAATGTAGAGTTTATTGATGACTCTGACAAGCAGTTTCACTGGAGTATGGGGACAAAACCTGATTGGAGAGTGGGCTCAGGAAGGAATGGGAAGAGCAGAATTGAAGAAAGTGAGTAAATACAACTATTTTGAGGAGTTTTTCTATAAAAGAGAACAGAAAAATGGAACAATGGCTGGATGGGGATGGAGAAAGTTAAGGAAAGATACTGTTCTTTTTTTTATGGTGAGAGGTAATAGAGTAAGTTTGTATGATGAGGAAATCACTGTAGCATAGGGGGGAAATTAATTGGAAGAACAGGAGACAATTGCAGGAGCAAAGTCCTTAACTAGTCAACTGGAGAGGGATCCAGTGTACAAATGGAGGACTTGGTTGATTAGGAGTTCAAGCTATTCATCCACTGAAATAATGAAGGCAGAGAATGTGAATAAGCTATAGGTAGGTTGGTACATTTGGTCAGAGGATAAGGAAATTATTTTCTGGTTCTCTTTTCTCAGTGAACTAGGAACAAAATCATGAACTGGGAGGGTGGGGCGTGGAATTGGGGGTTTGAAAAGAGAGCAGAATGTGAGAGAGATTCTGTAAAAGAGAGTTAATTGACTGAAGTTTTAGCCCAGAAATGTTTTAGTAGTAAAACTGTAAAGTATGATGCCAGCCTTTTCAACCTCCATTTTCCCTGTTGTTTCTTTCTGAAACTCTTTTAGTCAGGTTTGGACACTTGGACTGATCCTCTGATTGGGAGGAATTTCTCTCTGATTGTCCCTCTCTTCCCTCAGCTTTATCTTCTAATCCTTCTATAGAGGTTTTTTTTTTAATTTCAGCTGTCATATTATTTTAATTTTCCATAGCATCCTATTCTTGTTTAATGGATGCAATAGCTTCTCATTTAAGATATTAAAATTTTTGTTTGTTTTGTGATTTATTTTGTTTTGTTTTCTTCTGTTCCCTGCATAATCTCTGTTGCCTCCAAATTTCCTTTTATCTGCTTGTTTGTTTTGGTCTCTTTTATGAGGCTTTCTTCAAATGCCTGATGATCCTTGGTTGCTCATTTATATTTGTGTAGGACAGTCACACAAATATAGTATTCGACACTGAAAAGCTCCATGTGCGTGAGTGGGGCTTGTTCCTGGTGGGCTTCATAATAAGGTGAGCTTGAGGTCGACTAGCTTTTTCATTGTCAGTATGTAAAGGTCTTTTCTCCAAGACTGTTGAGTTTTTGAGGAGTTGGTGGGTATTTACCTGTCTGCTGAGCTTTTGGGGAAGGAAGCAGGAAAAGGAAGGTGAGGGCTTCACGTTTCCGTAGCTAGACTGTTACTCATTCTCCCTCTTGTCAGTCTGCACTGTATTCCTGCCCTGCTCTGTGCCTGATATCCCAAGTGTAGAACATCTCTAGCTCCTTTTCTCCTGGAAACAACCCTGGTGGGGTGCAGTGGTCATCTGGCTGCCTATTGGGGCGGGGAAGAGGGGTGGTGACAGAGAGAGGAACTGACTTGTAAACGTTACTCCAATTTTAGCCTTTTTTGCTAAAGGTACCAGCTTTTGGTACCTGGAAGAACTGAGACTCTCAGATTCTTTAGGGCAAATCAAATTCTCATCTGAATCCCTCCACTCCTACTTTGTAATCCACCCCATGTCCCAGTAAGTCACTTAGCACTCCTCTAATAGCTTTCTGTCTCTCCAAGTTTGGGGCTTTTTTAGTTGTTTTGTTTTGTTTTTGTTCTTTGGAAAGCTCAAATACGCTAATGGAGTCTCCTATTCACTTACTAATGGATTAGTACCTTTTTTTAAAATTGTCATTTTAGTGAGGAAACAAGGAGATAAAACACATGTGATCAATCTACCATGTTTATCTAGAACCTATCTGTACACTCTCAAGTGTAATCATCACAGGAACTGACAATTATAGAGTGCTTACTGTATGCCAGACACTGTTCTAAGTGCTTTACATTTGTTAACTTAGTATTCACAACAGTCTTATGAGACAGGTACTATTATTATGGCCGTTTTACAGGTGAAGAAACCAAGACACAGAGAAGTTAAGTAACTTGCCAAAGTTACACCAGCCAGTAGGTGTGGGACTAGGATTCAGACTCAGCTGTCAGACTCTAGAGAGATTTCCTGATTAAAACTTGCCAATAGTATCCCATTCCTTTATTTTAAAATCCAAGCAACTTAGCATGTCATTTGTGCTCTCCATGATCAGGTCCAGCGTACCTCTCCAGGCTCATCTCTCTCTACTCTGCCCTTGACTTCACCCTTTTGACCTTGTATTCTAGTCACATTGAACTTCTTGCTCTGAAATCACTATGTTCTCGAGATCCTTATGCCTTTTTCATGCTGATCCCTCTGCCCTAAATATTCCTTTATTCTCCTGAACTCTTTGTACAGTGTTAAGATATTTCAGCATATGCTTATAAATTGAATATTTGTATAATTTATTTCACCTAGCAATCAACTAATGCTTTTGATTTCTTTTGATTTAGTGTCTTCTTAAAAAATGTATAATTGAATAAAATAATAATATTTCATTGTGTATGAAGGTTCCAAAGTCTAACAGACTAAACAAGATTATGTAATCAAAATTTGATTGTATTGAGAGTGATACTTAAAGATTCTTTTGGAGCATAAGTGAAAAACTATATACTTTAAACAGTAAATGAATTAATTTCAGTCATTTGTTATTAAAATGTTTTATAACCTTGCTGTTTTTCTTAATAGCTTTTTCTTCCTCTTGCAAATCTGGAATGTTCACCAAATGTTGAAACTTTCCTTTGCAAAGCTTTTGTACCAACCTGCACAGAGCAAATTCATGTGGTTCCACCATGTCGTAAATTTTGTGAGAAAGTATATTCTGATTGCAAAAAACTAATTGACACTTTTGGAATCCAATGGCCTGAGGAACTTGAATGTGACAGGTAAATTATGTTTTCTACTGAAGGGTACTAATGATATTTTAATATTGGTGTTAGTTTTCCAGAATGTTAGTGATAGGCTTTCATTGTTTAAGTCACAGATGTTTATTGCACACTTACTATATGCTAGGTGCTGTGGTGGTAAGTGCTGTGGACACAATGGTGAGCAAAACAGACTTGATTCTTGTTCTCAGGGAACTTACAAATGGGCTGGGAGGAACGGAGAGTAATCAAATAGTTATACAAATAAAGGCAAAATTATGACTGTGCTACGTACAACAAAGGAGAGAACATGTAATGGTGTGTTTTTGACCTAAACCCGGAGGGCGGGGGGTGCAGGGCAGGGGAATGAGTCTTATTATCAATTCACTGACCTTTTAACTTTTTAACCTTTTAACTTGATTAATTACTTTTGTCTCCTATTCTCTAGTGGTTGGGGGCTTGTAATTTGGAATATTTGAGACCTCATGTAATATATCTGAGGAGGAAGCTGTCTACTTTTTTGTTTCTTTATCGGTAGCTTGAAGAAACTATAGAACCTTTGTGGAACTATACACTTCTGGTAGATGCATAATCATTTTCAAGAACAATTGAGTAATATATAGTATGGGAAATCCCCTTCTATATAAACTTTTATACAAACAAGGAATCATGCACAAGAATATTGATTGTAGCATTATTCCTAATTTTTTAAAAATGGGAAAAAGTCTGAAAGTCCATTGTAAGAATGATTAGTAAATTGTGATGTACTTACACACTAGAATATTACCATACAATTGATAAAATGAATGTAGTTGACCCACATCTGTCAATATAGATAAATTGAAAAACTATAGTGTTAAGTAAAAAAAGAAAATTGCAGTATGATATATATAGCATGATGTCATTTACATAAAGTTAAAAACCTGTGAAACAGTACTGTGTAACATAGTTCGAAAATAACATAGTAAAAATATTTAAAAATGCATGAGGAAAATAAAAACTGAACTTGTGGTAATGAATATTTCTGGGGAGAGAGAAAAGAGAATAGGACCAGAAAGGGGTCTCAACTGTATCTGTAACATTATATTGCTTTATTTAAAAAGATATAAAGCAAAACTGACATAATATTAAGTTGAAAAAGCTGGCAGATACATGAGTGTTCTTTTTATGGGCATACACTTTATTATTTTCTGTTCTTATCTAAAACATATTTATAATGCCTGCTCATTAAAAACCCCCACTAATTTTTACACCATACAAAATCCTCCAAAATAATACCTGTAGGTAGAAACTCAACTAGTGGTAAAATTCTGTACAAAACAGAAATATGTCTGTGTGGCACTCAGGTCTGCCCATAAACCAGGGAGACAAACAGCCAAACTGAAATAAAATGGTGATGTGAGTTAACCTGGTCCTCAGCCTGCCCTTGGTGATCTTCTTGCCCTTCTCTAAGAACTTAGAGATCACTTGAACTCGACCCTGTCAGGCCAGGAAAGGATCTCATTTCAGTCATTTTAGTTGTCATCACCTTACTCACGTTGTTGATCTACTTGGCTCGTGGGCATTAGAAAATAAAAATTAATTTCCCCATGACTTGTATTTCGTATGCTATAAACAGACAAGCCAGCACTTTTTTGTCTGGAGAGTACCAATCAAGATAAATTCTTTCTTAAATATTTAGTCTTGAAAGCAGAAATTATTTTAAAATTATTAATTGATTAATTGTTTTCCAAGTACAGGAATTTTCATATTCACTTGCCTTGTATTTAATATATATTTTGGTATGTCGAGACCTCATTAACAACCACAAGTTTTTAGTCAACTTCAAAAAACTTTCTACTCAACTCTAACCTGTAATCTATTTAGGTTTGTATGTCTTCCCATGAGTTATGAATGCATAAGGCAATATTTTATAGTTGGAAAGCGTAGCATTAAAAGTGACTCATTAAAAATGTTGACTTCCTATATTTAATTTTTATAATCTTTACAGATTACAATACTGTGATGAGACTGTTCCTGTAACTTTTGATCCACACACAGAGTTTCTTGATCCTCAGAAGAAAACAGAGCAAGTCCAAAGAGACATTGGATTTTGGTGTCCAAGGCATCTTAAGACTTCTGGGGGACAAGGATATAAGTTTCTGGGAATTGACCAGTGTGCACCTCCATGCCCCAACATGTATTTTAAAAGTGATGAGCTAGAGTTTGCAAAAAGTTTTATTGGAATAGTTTCAATATTTTGTCTTTGTGCAACCCTGTTCACATTCCTTACTTTTTTAATTGATGTTAAAAGATTCAGATACCCAGAAAGACCAATTATATACTACTCTGTCTGTTACAGCATTGTATCTCTTATGTACTTTATTGGATTCTTGCTAGGCAATAGCACAGCCTGCAATAAGGCAGATGAGAAGCTAGAACTTGGTGACACAGTTGTTCTAGGCTCTCAAAATAAGGCTTGCACCGTTTTGTTTATGTTTTTGTATTTCTTCACAATGGCTGGCACTGTGTGGTGGGTGATTCTTACCATTACTTGGTTCTTAGCTGCAGGAAGAAAATGGAGTTGTGAAGCCATTGAACAAAAAGCAGTGTGGTTTCATGCTGTTGCATGGGGAATACCAGGTTTTCTGACTGTTATGCTTCTTGCTATGAACAAAGTGGAAGGAGACAACATTAGTGGAGTTTGCTTTGTCGGCCTTTATGACCTGGATGCTTCTCGCTACTTTGTCCTTTTGCCACTGTGCCTTTGTGTGTTTGTTGGACTGTCTCTTCTTTTAGCTGGCATTATTTCCTTAAATCACGTTCGACAAGTTATACAACATGATGGCCGGAACCAAGAGAAACTAAAGAAATTTATGATTCGAATTGGAGTCTTCAGTGGCCTGTACCTTGTGCCATTGGTGACGCTTCTTGGCTGTTATGTGTATGAGCAAGTGAACAGGATTACCTGGGAGATAACTTGGGTCTCTGACCATTGTCGTCAGTACCATATCCCATGTCCTTATCAGGTAAAAGCTATCATTTGTATTGTTTCACTATTTAATTTTAACATAGAAAATGTTCCCTGGAAATATACTTGAATTAGTCATGACCATAAAATTAGATTTGAGGTGAGAAAATCCAATAGACATAAGGAATGATTCCCCATCATTGCTGAAACTGGAGTAAGTGTCTTAAAAGTTCTTTCCTCAAGTTTTAGCTTCAGTTACAATAGTAAAGTGCCTCCTCTGGCTGTTCTTTTAAAAAATAAATTGGGTTGCAAAGGCAGATTAATAGTAATAAAGAACAGAGTCAGAAGAACAGATCTTGTCATAGGGAGAAAAAGAGAAGTAACTTCTAGTGAATTGGGAGTTGTTTTAAATTATTCAGTGCTAGTAGGGAAAAACCTTATTTGAGCATATTTAATTTGATCATATTATCTTATCATTTTTTGCATATATGCTTATAAAAACAGAACTTGATTTTTGCCTAAACCATCCTGTCGTTTCTTAACTGAAAAAAGCACAATTAAAACAAAATATGTTTCGGGGCCAGCCCTTTGGCCAAGTGGTTAAAGTTCCACGTGCTCCGCTTCGATGGCCCAGGTTTGCGGGTTCAGATCCTGGGCACCGACCTATATCACTCACCAGCCATGCTGTGGTGGCATCCCACATACAAAGTAGAGGAACATTGGCACAGATGTTAGCTCAGGGCTAATCTTCCTCAAGTGAAAATAAAGGGAGATTGGCAACAGATGTTAGCACAAGGTGACTCTTCCTCAGCAAAAAAAAAGTTTCATATGTTTCTGATGTTTATGATTAGTATAAAGGTGGTGCTTTTAAGATTAAAAAAGTAAATTTCTGAAAAGAGAAAATTTCTTAAAGGGTTTTAGTTGAGGTTTTTTTAATAGAAATTTTGTTTTTTAATAGAGTTTATACATTTTTCTTGAATGTTTATATATGGCGTTAATTAGTTATATTGATTGTGAGTGCTGTCACCATGGTATATCAAATCAAGCAATGTGTGGGCTGAATTATTTTACATAATAATTTATACTCTAGAAAGTTACTGCATTATAACATAGTGGAACCTATTTTATATACTGATATGTGGGGATAATAGTTTTACTTGCCTTACATATTGTCCAGTCTGTTATCCACAGTCTGTTTTTACTATATACTTAATAAGGGAGCTGTGTCTTTAAGTGATCTTGCTATATGAAGTGTCTCATATATACCTCAGTATTTTTGGCAAACAACTATTACATACTACTAAAAAAGTTTAAGATCTGTGATTTTTAAAAATTATGTTTCATGTAAAGAAAGAAACTATAAAGTATTAAAAGATAAAATGAGAAAATTCAAATCTTAAAGTGGACAAGGACTTTGTAAGTCTGAAATAAAATTCATGAACTATAAAAAAAAAAGATTGCTAAATTTGACTAAGTAAAAAAAATTTTTTAGAGATTCTGCATGGCAAAACAACCCACCGTAATCAAACTCAGAAGACGAACTGGGAGAATTTATTCACACATCACATCATAGTTGAAGAGCTAATTTTCTTAATTTCTAAAGAATTCCTGTAGATCAATAAGAGAAAAACCTGACAATCTGATATAAAAATGAGAAGAGAATATGAAGAGGGATCACAGAAAGGAAAATCAAAAAGCTATTCTTACATATGTGAAAAATGTTATAAAGAAATGCAAATTAAAATTACAATAAAATTATATTCCTACTTACAACATGGCAAACATCTAAAGGTTTTATAACCACTATGTTGGTGAAACTGGCAAAATATGCATTCTCAGACTCTGCTGTTCAGTCAGTTCAGCCTTCTGTGGAAAGCAGTCTGACAGTATCACCTGCACATACTCTTTGATCCTGCCCTTCTGGAAATGTGTCGACAGATCTGCTCACAAATGTGAGAGATTACACACACAAAGATAGTCACTGCAACATTATTTGCAATGGCAATAGGTTGGAAATAACCTAAATATCCATTAATAGGAGTCATTGAATAAGTTATATTCATGCACACAATGCTACAGCCTTCAAAAATAAATGAAGACCTCTGTTTGTGCTGATATAGAATGGTCTCCAAGAAATATTAGTAAGTGCAAAAATCAAGCTATAATACAGACTGTGTAGTATTTTGATACTTGTGCAACATTTAAAAAATAATATTTGAAAGTTTATGCTTGAAAGAAAAGTATGAATTTTCATGAAATTTCCACATTTTACTGATGTTTATTTTGCTCTAACCAACCATGTTTTTATAACATAAACATCAACAATACATAAAGTCTCTAAAATAGTATGTTGTTATAATGAGTTTAAATGTGTTTTTTATGGTGGATTAAAGTGAAGGAAAATAGATAAATATTTAGAGGCAAATAATTTGGCAATTATAAGAGGCTGCTGTACTTATAGGAAAAAAAGGTGTCGGGAAATCAAGCCAAGATTTAGGATATGCTTCCTAAATTTATTTGGTTTTCCCTTTCTACCTATATATTTTGATACACAGATACAAGTTCTTTGTTCAGAACTTTGGTAAAGAAGGTATTACACTTAAAGCATTATTCATTATATTATATCAAACATTTTATAATAAAACAGACTGAAGATTTATATTTTTTGTTCATTTTATATTTACCATATAGACTTTTCTCCACTTTAAATGTATCACTGACATTTTTGTTATTCACTGTTTTTTTTTTATAGGCAAAAACAGAAACTCGACCAGAATTGGCTTTATTTATGATAAAATATCTGATGACATTAATTGTTGGCATCTCTGCTGTCTTCTGGGTTGGAAGCAAAAAGACATGCACAGAATGGGCTGGGTTTTTTAAACGAAATCGCAAGAAAGAGTAAGAACCTATTGAATTATATGACATTGTTTTAAAATAAATAGATCAAATAACAAGGACCTCTTCAAATCATCATTGTACGAGTGTTTTATTATATCAACTGTTGTTTCAAGTTTTGAAATCTTTTTCGTAGAGAGATATGCTTTATTTTGGCATTGTTATAGTCTTTGACATATACTATTCTACTGAAATATGAATGAAAGATTTGTAAAATGTGCATTTGCTTTCCATAGCTTATAATATATCCAATATTAGTACTGCTTTCATTGGATTCATTATTTTGGGCATAGCATTTTCAATAATTTTATCCTTTTTTATCAATGATAAAAGATTAAATGGACTCAAATGCATGTAAGGAAATCTATAAAGTATGATTTAAGTGTGACGTGTTATGATCATTATTTACTACATTTAAATTTTATTACATATAGTACTGACTTAAAATTTCCTTGCCAATTTGCCTTGCCTACGATGGTAAAAATTCAAACTTACGGAATATTCTGTAACAATATAGTTGATTTACATTTATGAGTAAATAGTTCATCTTAGTTATTTATGTATGTTGTATACTATGTACTATCAACAATGTACTATAGAGTTTTTTAAACTGTTTCCCATTGGTTTGATTAATGATTTTTTTGTGGTAAAAGTTTCAGAACTGTAGTTAAAAATAAGTTTTTAAAGTCTGAAGAATTGTGCTTAACCAGACTTTAATTTTTTTGCACTATTATTGTATGTCTATCCCATATTTATGTACGCACACTAACTTCAGTATAACTTGAATGCTAAGTTTAGTGTTAGAAGGCAAACAATTAAATTTAACAAAGACCACTAATTATATTCTATGTCTTTTCTCTTCTGGTTTACTTTTACATTGGATATATTTATATATGATACCCATACAGATAGTCCCTACTTTATGTTGGCTTAAGTTTCCTTATCCTCCCTTATCCTTTGATTTCGCCTATGTAATTTCTTTTTTTGTTGTTTTAATTTTTTTTATTTATTTATTTTTCTCCCCCAAAGCCCCAGTAGATAGTTGTATGTCATAGTTGCACAGCCTTCTAGTTGCTGTATGTGGGACGTGGCCTCAGCATGGCCGGAGAAGCGGTGCGTCGGTGCGCGCCCGGGATCCGAACCTGGGCCGCCAGTAGCAGAGCGCGCGCACTTAACCGCTAAGCCACGGGGCCGGCCCTCACCTATTTAATTTCTTAGCAGTCTACTATTTATGCTGACAAAGCAACTAACAGTGTATGCACAAAAGATTTCACTTCGTGTCAATCTACTTACATCTCATAGTATTTATAATCTCAGATTTTATAAATAATATAAATCATATAGAATTTCTAACTTTAATGAATAAGGATTTCTGGCACAAGATATGTGATATGCTTTGTGGCTTCTACTATAACGCTTAAGATTTATCAAGTAAATCTTCTCCTTGGATTTTCTTACAGTCCAATCAGTGAAAGTCGAAGAGTTCTACAGGAGTCATGTGAGTTCTTCTTAAAGCACAATTCTAAAGTTAAACACAAGAAGAAGCACTACAAACCAAGTTCACATAAGCTGAAGGTCATTTCCAAATCCATGGGAACCAGCACAGGAGCTACAGCAAATCATGGCACCTCTGCAGTAGCAATCACTAACCATGATTACTTAGGACAGGACACTTTGACAGAAATCCAAACCTCGCCAGAAACATCAGTGAGAGAGGTGAGAGCAGACGGAGCGAGCACCCCTAAATCAAGAGAACAGGACTGTGGGGAACCTGCCTCCCCAGCAGCATCCAGCTCCAAACTCTGTGGGGAGCAGGCCGACAGGAAAGGCCGGGCAGGCCGCGTGAACGATAAGAGCAGTGTATCTGAAAGTGCGCGGAGTGAAGGAAGGTGAGCTTTGATTTTGTTCTCTGAATCATGACTATTTTGAATACTGCGTTATACATTTTTATTAAAACGTAACATCTGGAAAGAAAGCATTCTGTGAGATGACATCTATACCCTTAATCCAAGAAAGTTTGGGTTCAGCCTATAAATATGTCATTTTCTAGTTTAATTCTTAGCTTTGAGAACTTTCACGTATGTTGTTCACGTAGAACAGTGACGTTCATTTCTGTGGTAATTGTTAAGAGTTATGTGTATATTTAGGTAAGTGTTTAAGATTCATCTGGAATACAGGCTGAGTTTTAATTGGTACTGCATTATGGTACTGTCTAAAAGGTATTTGTTAGTTTACACAAAGATGATTATAAAATGTTTTTATTTTCTGAACATGAAAGGATATTAGCATTACCTTTAATGAATTTTCCAGATGGTCATAGTTGCTCCAAACACAGGTAAACATCAAATTAACCAGAATGCTGACCACTGACTACTTTAAGGTCTCAAGGTTGTCTTACCTCACCCTCCCAAACTAGGCCAAATGCACCCTCTCTCTGTTTCTCTAACAGCTTTTGCGTACCTGGATTGTAATTAGATACGTGCTTTTATCCTCCACTAGATTTGTAAACTCCAGAAAGGCAGAGCTGAGGTCTTACTCATCTTTGTGTTCCCATCCTCTTATACAGTGTCTGATCTATGGTGGGAAATCAATAAAATATTTCTTAAACCGAGGGCAGAAATCCTGTCTTATTAATTGTGTTCACCGTGAGACATTGTCCTCAGTCCATGCATGGGTGGTGCTTGACAAAGTTTCCAAAGTTAGCAAAAATTGTATTTGAAATAAATTATTTGTATTTTGAGGTATTAGAGTATACATAAAGAGTTTTAGTTAATTATCCTCTGATAAAGGTGGACATTGGTTGCGAGTAAAAGTCATGAGAAGTGGATAGCAGTTACAAGGACATTTGGCATCTGTGCTTTGGTATGTATATATGTCAGCTTTTCTTCTTCTACCTATAGGATAACTCCAAAAAGTGGTGTTACCGAAACTGGCCCGGCGCAGAGCAACAACTTGCAGGTCCCCAGCTCTTTAGAGCCAAGCAGCCTGAAAGGCTCCACATCACTGCTCGTTCACGCGGCCTCAGGAGTTAGAAAAGAGCAGGGCGCTGGCAGTCACTCAGATACTTGAAAACCAGGTTATCCCATTTCTTTGAAGCGGCTTTGTGTTCCACTGGAGGTGACCAATACACTGTCTTGTAAGAATCACTGTTTTCTTCTTCTTTTGCACTTAAAGCTACATTGCCTGCTGTTACACTGGAAAGAACAATATACCTGAAAAACAGAAATGTTCAGGTTAATAATATTTTTTAAATTGTGTGGGAGGAGAGAGTTAGAGGAATCTTCCTTTTTTATTTATGAAGATTCTACTCTTGTTAAAAGTATTTTAAGATGTACTATGCTATTTCACTTTTATGATATAAAATTAAGATTTTTCTTTGCTGAAGTATTTAAAACTTATCCTTTTATCTTTTTTTATGTATTTGAAAATAAATTTATATGTATTTGAACTTTTTTTAGAAATCCTGGAAGATCTATTCAAATATTTTTATTATCTTATTCTGATATTTTAGCACTACTTTGGTAGCTTTTACACTGAATTTCTAAGAAAATTGAGAAATAGTTTTCTTTTATAGTATAAAAAATAGTTGACACACCAAAAGGTGTTATAATGGGAATTCAACTAAAAACACTTACTCTACCTTATCATCTTCAATGTGTGCATTTTATAAGGTCTCATTATTTTAGGAATTTCACAGATCTATTATGCAACTAAGGTGCGTACTGAAAGAGTGTCCACTGTTGGTCATCTCCTGCTGCTCGCTGATCCTGAAGAGTTAGTAGATGAAATGTTACTCTTTCATAAATTAAGCCAAGTGCAATTGATCTTGTTTTTTAATGTTTCATGACCACCCAAGATCATTATTATGACCATTTACAGTTGCTTGTACTTTTGTTTTAACTTGTTTTTTAACATTATAATTCTACAAACGCTTTGTGTTTGTGTAGTATCTTTTCCAAACATTGTGTAGAATTCATTTCTGCAGCTAAATAGGATTTTGTTCAACATTCAAAGGTGTGTTAGCAATATTAGTGCCAATGAAGTGGAAAAAAATGTAGTCCTGATAAACCAAATGAAATGTGTTTTGTATAACATACTTTAAAATGTTAGAATTTTCTTAATTTGTTTCCAATTAAGTATTATTCCTTGAACAAGGTTTTCTGATGCTTTTGGTTTTTTTCTGTATTTAGCATTCTGTTAAAGCATAAAAAGAAAATTATCATGTACTGTATGGAAAATGTTGTAAATATTAACTTTTCCACATTTGTTAACTTTGTATACAAAACTTTGTTTTATGTGATCTTTTCAGTAATAAAATTTTCTCTATATAAGAGATTTGAGAGTATTCTGTGGTTGTATATAGTGCTCCCGGCCCAGAAGCGGTGTAATTTTTCAGATCAGTGGCTCCATGACTAATAAGTCAGAAGCTTCTTTTTAAATGGAGAAGAAGAAGACAGGACTCTCTCTTTTTAATTTGTCACAATTTCTTTGCAAAGAATAAATTAGACAGCCATATTTACCATAACTGTTAAAGCCAGTGGGAGACCTGGGGTGTGGGGTGAAGCAAAGGGAACCCAGGATCCTGCTTTCACTCCTGACAGTGGGAAATAAAACAATATCATCCTCAAGACACTAAAAAAAAACCTGAAAAGATAGTGAGAAATTGCCAGGCTATGATCTGGGAGAAGAAAAATTCACACTGCCAACAAGCCCAACATTTGGAGCTTCTTTTGTCCGGGGAGCATTTGATGATTTGGAAAAGGTGGCTGAGAGGTTGAACAGTGCCATTAACAAAGTCTGGAGGACAAGGGGAAGGGGGTGCTGCACACCACACTACACTCAGAATTGTGACCTCAAAGGAGTGTATCTTAGGAGTAAGGGTGAACTGTAAGGAAAGCAACCCTGCTTCAAGTTACCTGGGTGGACTAGAAAAACCTCTGACCCTGGAATTAGAATAAGCTCTGGATTAGTAGTACCCTCAGGCACCAGGCGGAAGCAAATGAAAATCTTCTCTGGAGGAAGTAAGTGTCATTCTACATACTCTACAAATACTTTTAAAATACAATGTTTATCATATAATCAAACATAATCAGGCATGCAAAAAAACAATGCATGAACAAGAATTGGCATAAACATCACATGAGAGAAAGATCCAGACGTACTCCTGAATTACCAGGCATAGATTTGTCACTTAAAAAGATCAGCAAGGAAAACAACGAGATACCACTACACACCTATTAGAATGGTTAAAATCCAAAAAAGTGACAATACAAATTTCTGGTGAGGATGCGGAACAACGGGAACTCTCCTTCATTGCTGATGGAAATGCAAAATGGTACAGCCACCTTGGAAAATAGTTGGGCCGTTTCTTACACAGCTAAACATGGTCTTACCATATGATCCAACAATCATGCTCCTAGGTGTTTATCCAAGTGATTTATGTAGATACTCCACCCTTGAGGTGCAGTATAACTATCTACTCCTTAAGTCTGGGCAGCACATAGTGACTTCCTTCCAAAGAATACAGTAGAGCAAGGGGCTGGGGAAGAGTCACTTTTACAATGGAGAAACTTGACAAATACTACCTCAGGCAGGTGATGGAGGTCAGCAGCAACAGTAATAAGTCACATTGAGAGTATGTACCCTTCATATGATGTGATGAAGATGGCGCTTGACCACTGTGACCTTCCTCCCCCAAATCCATAATCTCAGTCTAGTCATGAGAAAAACATCAGACAAATCCTGACAGACGGACGTTTTACAAAATACCTGACCAGTACTCCTCAAAACTATCAAGATCATCAAAAACAAAGTCTAAGAAACTGTTACAGCCAACGGGAGCCCAAGGAGACATGATGACTAAATGTAATATGGTATCCTAGAAAAGAAAAAGCACATTAGATAAAAACTAAGGAAATCTGAATAAAGCATGGGCTTTAGTCATTCAGTTCAGTGAAAATTTCTTTAATTATGTGTGTGATAATTTCCTCCCCTCTGCTTGCTCTTTTTCATTGAAATTTCTTTTAATTAGAAGACATCCTGGATGGATCGTCTAATTTTCTCATTTTTCCTCTCCTTTTGTCGATCTCTTTGAATTTTTGTTCTCTTTATAAGAAAATTTCTCAAACTTCTAAATTTCTATTGAATTTTTATTTTGGCTATCATTTTTTGATTTCACAGAGCATTTTTATCTCTGTTCTTTTTAAATAGCATCTTTTTGTTTTATGATTCTTTTACATATGTTTGAAGATATATAATTGACTTTTTAAAGGCCATATAGAAAACTTTAATTTTTAATATTTATTTTGTAAGAGATGACTTTATTATAGTCCTTAATCGCTCAAATAATTTTGTAGTTGATTTTTCCTGGTGGGTGATCTTTTCATCTCAAACAATGGTAATTTCATTTCTCATCTATTAGCTAGAATTTGGAACCAGTAATCATTAACAGTGGTAGCAGCAGACATCTTTGTCTTGTTTATTTTAATGAAAATGCCTATACTACTTCATCATTAAGAACAATGTTGGCATTTGATATGAGAGATATTTTTTAACAAGTTAATAAAGAATCCTATTCCATTTGACAATTTTTTAAAAATTAGCAGTAGGTGTTTTATCAAATGGCTTTTTGCTATCAGGATTAGTCAAGGTAGGCTAACTGCTGTAATAAACAATCCTCAAAATCTTAATAGCTTAAGAAACTGTTATCATTCATGTGACAGTTAGGTGCAAATGTTTTTGAGGTAGCCTTCCAAGTGATTACTCATGGACCCACCACTTGTGACTCTGCCATCTTGTGACTCTGCCATCTTGTGACTCTGCTGTTAGGGCTTCAGATTCTTCTGCAGATTTTTCTGCACCCAGCCGGCAGGCGGAAGAAGCGAGAGTATACGATTGCACACGAAAAATGTTATGAGTCGGAGTGGGAAGTGGCACACATAATTTCCAGCTACATTTCGTTTGCCAGAACTCAGGCATAGACCCATACCTAACTGCAAGGGAGGCTGGGAAATGTAGTCTAGATGTGTGCCTGGGAGGGAGAAGAAACAAGCTTAGTGAGCAATCTGCCAGCAACGTTTCAACCTACAAATGTGAGGTAGTCAATACATTTCCTAATATAATGCCATCCTTTCATTATTTGAATAACCCTAATTGATCACAATGTATCATTTATTATACTGCTGGATTTGATTTGTTAGTGATTTATTTAGAATAAACATACGCATCTAGATCCACCTATGTTCTAAGTGATTTCTCAACCACGGGCATAATATTTGTAATCCGCAAGCTTGGATTTTAAAAGTATTCACTTTTAATAGCAAACTACAAAACCGTCATTTAACTCAAAAGAAAACAGCAGTTTTTCTTTTTCATGGGACCAGAGTCTTTGATGCAAAAAGAGCCTGCTATTTCAGAGTTGGTGGTATTAATTTTTATAAGAATTACGTAGCATTTTTTAACCGAGAAAATTGACCTAAATTACATAATATATTTACATTTACAATAACAAGGTTGGCATGAGTAATGTGCAGCTAAACTCAACAGCAGTAAAGATATGATAAGGCAGCATTTCACTTTGAAAGTCGGCCACAAATCCTCAACAGAACTTTGTGGAATGCTATCTTTCAAAAAGATTCAGTATATCCATTGGGATCCATCACTGCTGTGCTATTCATGGTACCGAAGGAATCTTCTCTAGACTTTTGTCCGAAAACTAGACCGAAAACAGCTTGTAATTGCCACCCATCATCAAAATCACAGTTTTAATGCTTCCTTACTTCTCAGAAATGTGCCATTGGTGGGCGTTTCCAGTTACTACTGCTGGAAAGTTTTAACATTGCCCAGGCAGGCACTGGTACTCTCAGGAAATGAAAGACATAATTTTTAATAACCACAAGAAGCCCTGCTGTTACTTTTCTGCATGGAAAGCATAATCTTTAATACCTCACTTATGCCCACAGCACAAGTCAAAGACTGAAATTCCAGATGCTGAAGATTTTAACAGTGGCCACTGTGATCTGTCATGTGCAGAAGAATCAAACTTTCATTAACTCATAATGGCAGTGTGTCAACAAAGAGAAAAGAGAAGAAAAGGTTAAAAGGTGAATCCAAAATTATCCAAAGACATTGGGACCTGGAGCTCAACAGTAGTGGAAAGTGGCACAGTAAAGTTGTCATGGACATAGCCGGAGAAGTGGAAA